TTTCTTAATGTGTTTTGTCTACAACGACATTTGGAAGAAAACGAACATAATGGTACGAGCGTTAAACGATTTCATATGGAATTACCGCGCTCGCGTCGTCTGTGAACTGATATTTCCACCCATTACGTGCGTATATGTGCGTTACACTTTCTCGCGCTCTCAAATGAAGACAAAACAATGTATAAATGAATTTGAAAACACAAATATTAATGATTTTTTCTTCGATTGCATATACTTGTATGCACTTTCATGGATCAATGGAATTTTAGTCTTGAATTGAAGTTCAATAATGTCGCATCTCATCGAATTTGAAGAACGTGAAAGTGCATTTCAGAATAGATTGCACACTTTTGGCATTATAAATCGTGGACATAAAGAAATCGAAGATTTTTTTGAAGATGCATTTTTCTATTTTGATTCTAATGTTAAATCTATTTTGGATGATCATTATCTAATTAAAGTATCAGTGTGTTTACATGCAATATTTGAAAAGAAAGTTATGACAAGTGATGGTGTAGAGGAATGTGTCACGCAGCCAATGTATCTCCATACAAATATGGAAATAGTAGATTTTGAAACTGAACTAAAACAATTCTACGACGAATATATTGTAACTGTTGTTCAAAATAGAATAAGTGAAATCGAATTACGGGGTAGCGGTTTTACATTGAAAGAAATCATTGATATGGAAACACAAACGAGCAGCTACGATCCGTATAACGGTGCTTCATACATGAAGTTGCCGAAAAAACTTGAGAACAAAAAAGCCATTATTAATGTGCAAAATAAGGATGAGAAATGCTTTATGTACGCCATACTATCAGCGCTTCATTCAGATTTGAAAAATCCTCAACGTGTGAAAACTTATAAAAATTATCTGAATGAACTGAATTTTGAGGGCTTAAATTTCCCCATCGGCTTAAAAGAGTTAAAAAAATTTGAACAACAAAATTCAACGATATCAGTGAACGTATATATGTGGAGCGAAAAAAATGAAAAAGTACGCCCCTTGCGTTTAACAAAAAATGTAAAAGCCAATCATGTGCACTTGTTGTTGTTATCAAAAAATGTTGGTGATACCGATGGGGTGAAAACACATTATTGTTGGATAAAAAATTTGAGTGCGTTAATAGGCAAACAAATTTCGAAAAATTGCCGCAAAAAACTATTCTGTGACAGATGTTTGAACCATTTTGTCTGTTTCCAAGCACTTGAGCAGCACAAGATGGCATGCATGAACCAAAACGAATGCCAAATCATCATGCCTATTCCAGGGGTAAACGACTCGATTCAATTTGTTAATTTTCAAAAACAGATACCAGTCGAATTCGTTGTTTATGCTGACGTTGAATCGGTTTTACGAACACCAAATGATGATGAAAAACCATTCGATAGCGAAAAAACTGAGACCAATCAAAAACATGATGTGTTTAGTATTGGTTATTTCTGTGCTGCCGATTATGGTGAATCAAAATATCATTTCAATCGGGGAGCGAATTGTATTGAGTGGTTTGTGAATGAGATGGAAAATCTCGGACATGCTGCAAGCGCAGTATTATCACGAAAAGTCCCCATGAGATTGAGTGATGAAGAACAAGTACTTTTTATATGGAGTGATGATTGTCACATCTGTGGAAAAAATATCTACAATGAAGATGATAAGGTGCGTGATCACTGCCATAGGACCGGTGAATTTCGCGGGGCTGCACATAGTAAATGCAATCTTAAATACCAACGAGCTAAACACATAACTGTGGTATTTCATAACTTATCAAATTATGATTCACACTTCATCATAAAAGCATTCACCCAAAACATAGATGGTGAAGTTTCGGTGATACCACGCAACGATGAAGTGTATATTTCATTTTCAAAACATATTGATTCAACGCGAAACAAAGTTGAAGGATTCTGCGGTGTAAAATTGCGTTTCATCGACTCTTTACGTTTTATGCGTTCGTCATTGGATTATTTAGCATCAACACTCCCATTGGAAAAGAAAAAAATTCTACGAGCTGAATTCAAAGATTTGAACGATGAGAAAATGAGGCTGCTCCAGCGGAAAGGTGTTTTTTGCTATGATTATCTCGACTCAGTTGAAAAGTTGAATGAAACATCTCTACCACCGAAAGAAAAATTCTTTAACACGCTAAACAATTCTGGTATAACCGATGAAGAATATGCACATGCTGAAAAGGTTTGGGAAACATTCAACATTAAAACATTGGGTGAATACTCCGATTTATATTTAAAAACGGACATTTTGTTGCTTGCTGATATATTTGAAAATTTTCGAGACAAATGCTTTTCAATATATCAACTTGACCCAGCCCACTATTTCACAGCACCTGGGTTATCGTTTGATGCCATGCTAAAGCAAACAAAAGTCGAACTCGATCTCATAACTGATGTTGATATGTTGTTATTTATCGAACGCGGGATTCGCGGTGGGATTAGCCAATGTAGCAAAAGGTACGCACGAGCCAACAACAAGTACACTGAAAACCATGATCCAGAGCTTGAGTCCAATTTTTTAATGTATTTAGATGCCAATAATTTGTATGGATGGAGCATGCTACAATATCTGCCTCATAGCGATTTCAGATGGAACCATGAAGAGTTCACAGCGGCCGACATCATGGCATTACGAGATGATTCATGCATGGGGTACATCTTTGAAGTAGATCTAGAATACCCACAACATCTGCATGACACCCATAAAGACTACCCATTTTGCTGTGAAAACAAAACGGTACCCAATACTAAAAACGATTCAAAATTACTTCTCACCTTAGATGATAAGAAAAAATACGTTATACATTATAGGATGTTGAAATGCGCATTGAAACATGGTTTAGTTTTGAAAAAAGTGCACAAAGTACTACAATTCAAGCAATCGCAATGGCTCAAGCCATACATTGAATTAAATACGAAATTGCGCACTCAAGCATTGAACGAATTCGAAAAGGACTTTTATAAGTTACTTATAAACGCGATATTTGGCAAAACAATGGAAAATATGCGCGAAAGAATTGAAATAAAATTAAAAAGTAAGTGGGATGGGCGATATGGAGCTAGGTCGTATATAGCGAAACCTCATTGTAAAAAATATAAAATATTTGATGAGGATTTAGTTGCAATTGAAATGAAAAAAACATTTGTGAAAATGGAAAAGCCTATTACTGTTGGCATGAGCATCTTGGATATTTCAAAAGTATTAATGTATGATTTCTATTATGGCTATTTAAAGCAGAAATACGGTGAAAATGTATCTTTACTTTATACGGACACTGACTCGTTTATCTTGGATGTCATCACAGAGTGTTTTTACAGCGATATGTTAGCCGACATTGAAAAGTATGACACAAGTGATTTTCAAGAGTCAAATGAATATGGATTACCGCGCGTAAATAAAAAAGTCCCCGGTCTTTTTAAAGACGAATTAAATGGGCAAATATTAACTGAATTCGCTGGGCTTCGCAGTAAAATGTATTCGGTTAGAGCTAAAAAAGATGAAAAATTTAAAACAAAAGATGGAGAATTGATGGAAGGTATGAAAAAAGCGAAAGGCCTTAAAAAATGTGTACTATCGAAAACTATATCATTTCAAGATTATATGAATTGTATTGAGCAAAATTGCACAGTTATAAGAAGTCAGAATACCATCCGATCGAAAAAACATCAAGTGTACACTATAGCCCAGACGAAAACTGCATTAAGTCCATACGATAATAAAAGATACATATTGAATGGAAACATTGAAACTTTGCCATGGGGGCATTACAAAATTCCAAGCGAAATTAATGCATAGCGTAGCGTAGTAATAAGTGAAAAAAATACAATACTTTTTTTGTTTTTATTCTTTATTTTGAAATAAAAAAAAAATTTAAAATACATCTTTTTCATCAACCCATGAATTGTGTTGGCTATCGAATCCAAGCCACTTTACATATATTTTTTTTCCTTTTCTGCGAATAATTTTTTCCACTAAATATAAATCTGGATATTTGACTAATTGTAATTCTTCTGCATAGACAGTGCCTTTGATCTCATGGCCATCTAAATCAATCAATAAATAAGTGACTGGATTCGTTTGCTGCACTTTTTTTATTTTGAAAATTTCACAGGTCCAGTTTGGTGTGTACCCCTTTGAAAACATATATTTATATTTGCTCATTCGCACTAAGTTACCAAGCTTGAATTTGGCTTTAGCTCTACGGAATGATGATGTATAATCGTAAACAGTGTCCAAAAGAAATTGCTCGTTCGATACATTTACATCGTTTGGTTTCATTTTTATTGTTCGATGCTTGGTGTGGTTATATTCATCAACTAATGTTTGCACAATATCAATCCATTTATAGGAGCCACGAAAACTGAATTCTTTCCACATTCGATCTTTTAATGTTCTATTGAAACGTTCAACAATTGCTGCTTTTTTCGTGGTAAAAGTGGAGTACAAATGAATTCTTCGTTGCTCTAGCATTTTTTTCATTGGTGCATTGTAGAATTCTTTACCATTGTCAACATGTAAATGTTCAATTGGATGTCCCATCGAATTTAGTACTGACTCCATTGCTTGCGTTACTTCTTGAGCAGTTTTATTCTTTAATGCATGCACATATGCTTTCTTTGAAAAAATATTAATTACGGTTAAAATATATTTCATGTTGCGATTCTGCTTTGCATATGGAATCATTTCTACTAAATCCGCCTGTATGGTGTCATTTATTCCCTTCATATCTGTTTTTCGCCGCATGAAATTTCTGCGAGCACTGCGGTGTAATTCGTTCACTAAATCACGTTTGCTCATTTTTTCACTTTTCTTATATAGCTTAGATTTCACGATGAACTATACTGCTGAAAGGTGAGTATCGGACTAAATTGTCATGAATGATCAGGCAATATGCTGTAGTTAAAGCTGGGAAATTTTCTCTGGCCTCTAATTCCAAGCGAACGTCAACCATTCCAGTTTTCACACTCTCATCTGATTTCGTGCAATCGAAAGCAAACATTGGTTTTTTCGTAAAGTTATCCAGATTATATTCGGTTGGATTGTAGAATGAAACTTCATTGTAATATGTACATTGTATAGTTTTCACCATGTGAAATAATTCAGAGAAATGATCTGCAGTGAATTGTAAATTTAGGTCGTCGTATGGATAGCGTTCATTATTCAAATATAATTTTACATTCGATATGTTGCAGGTATCAAAAGCTGACGAATCATTCACAATGGTGCTGCGATTTGTTTGAAATGCCACAATGACATAACGAGGTTTTCTAACTTGACTCGTTGTTTTCACGCTCCAGGTGTGGCGATTTGTTGTTGGCAAAGCTGGTAACTCATATAAATCCCACGAACGGTACGGAATATAGAGGTTTTCGTTTCGTGATATCGTTTTAAGCATAGATAATTTTGCTTGATCGCTAAGCGATACATGTGGCACTTTCCATTGAATTTTATTGATTGTCAATGTCAATATGTCAGCATTTGATTGATATACACATATATTTGATCTATTTCGTACCAAAATTAATTCATGTTTGCAGTTCAATATAACTTTTCGGAAATCATCACAGAATCCGAATATGAAACGAAGTGGAATCATCATGCGATATGTTCCAGTGGTAATCGACTTATCTCCTTTATCATTAAACAATTCATATAAATAATGATCCTCTGATTTACATGCGACCACGCATTTCATTATAGATGTGATGCCGGGCAATTTGTTACGATCAATTTCAATACCATTCAATTCATATCGCATTTCGCTAAACATGTGTGAAGTAAAATTGTATGAAAATACAGCTTGATTGTTAGCAAACAATTCATTGTCAGTTCTTGCGCATGAAAACTCCATATATATGTAGCTCTGAGATGGTAGAGTGATTAAATCCTGCGATTGTATTGTAATTCTCACTTCATCGTTGTTATTGAAGGAAGTTGTGTAAGGAGTGTACGTATGAAACTGTTGACTTATTACATCATTTTCATCAACGATTGAGTTCTTTATACTCAAAATATTGTTCGCCATCTTTGTTTTTTTTTTAATTTTTCTTCTTATTGTTATTCACTTTCAAGCGCAAACCGATACTTTTCAAAAAATTTCTATTTTTAACACTCAGAACCTTCCGCTTGGATCGTGTGCTCTGCTTCAAGGTTCGATTCACAATGGTAGACTTTCTCGAAAAATTGTTGCTCTTATAGTCTTCTTGATGATAGAGTAACATTTTTCTTTGCTTACGTACTCGTACAAAAAAAAATACGTGTTTATTCAACGTACGTCAAATAACAACTGACTCAATTCGATGCCGATTGTGTGTGTATATCCACAACCACTCACTGATCTCTCTTTATATGTATGCGACATGTAATTTGTTCATCACGAAAATCAATAAAATGTCCATCTTGATCAATAATCGAAATATTTAATTCATTTATTCTATGTTTGATGATTGGAAGATAAATCAAATGTTTCGGTTGTTCCATAATTCGATATCCAGGTGCAACCTTTGGGCTAAACTCATATATTGTATGTGTGCATTCCCCATTGTTATATGATCCTGTTGTTAAATCACAATCAATTCGAATGCTATTAACACGTTGTATATTCACAAGCAAATCTGAATGAAGATTAGTCGCATCAAACACTTTTTTACTGAATCCAAGTACCGATCCAATCGAATTCGGTTGAGAAAAATCAATAAAAATATTAGAACATTCGATGTAAAATCTCATGGTTTTTTCATTTGCATTGAAAAAGAATAGTATTTCTTCCTTGCTCAATTCCCTTCTCAAGTAATCACCGATATCATTGAGTTCATACGATCCTTTTGGTAATGAAATGACTTGCATAGGACCCTCCTTTCCAATCGAAAAATGAAATTTGTTGTTTTTTTCATCTATATTTGAAATTGAATTGGATGAACGATGTAGCTATTCGTGTTGCCTGCTCGATTTATACACATACAATTCAATTCCAAATATAGATGAAAAAAACAACAAATTTCATTTTTCGATTGGAAAGGAGGGTCCTATGCAAGTCATTTCATTACCAAAAGGATCGTATGAACTCAATGATATCGGTGATTACTTGAGAAGGGAATTGAGCAAGGAAGAAATACTATTCTTTTTCAATGCAAATGAAAAAACCATGAGATTTTACATCGAATGTTCTAATATTTTTATTGATTTTTCTCAACCGAATTCGATTGGATCGGTACTTGGATTCAGTAAAAAAGTGTTTGATGCGACTAATCTTCATTCAGATTTGCTTGTGAATATACAACGTGTTAATAGCATTCGAATTGATTGTGATTTAACAACAGGATCATATAACAATGGGGAATGCACACATACAATATATGAGTTTAGCCCAAAGGTTGCACCTGGATATCGAATTATGGAACAACCGAAACATTTGATTTATCTTCCAATCATCAAACATAGAATAAATGAATTAAATATTTCGATTATTGATCAAGATGGACATTTTATTGATTTTCGTGATGAACAAATTACATGTCGCATACATATAAAGAGAGATCAGTGAGTGGTTGTGGATATACACACACAATCGGCATCGAATTGAGTCAGTTGTTATTTGACGTACGTTGAATAAACACGTATTTTTTTTTGTACGAGTACGTAAGCAAAGAAAAATGTTACTCTATCATCAAGAAGACTATAAGAGCAACAATTTTTCGAGAAAGTCTACCATTGTGAATCGAACCTTGAAGCAGAGCACACGATCCAAGCGGAAGGTTCTGAGTGTTAAAAATAGAAATTTTTTGAAAAGTATCGGTTTGCGCTTGAAAGTGAATAACAATAAGAAGAAAAATTAAAAAAAAAACAAAGATGGCGAACAATATTTTGAGTATAAAGAACTCAATCGTTGATGAAAATGATGTAATAA